CCATTGCACTCCAGTCTGGGCGACAGAGTGAGACTCCAACTCAAAAAACAAACAAACAAACAAACAAACAAACAAAAAAATGGGAATGACCAAAAGAAGAAGGGTAATAAAAAGAGAAAATAAAATGCAGCTGAACACTAGAAGGGAAATGGGAAAGAGAAAGACTATATAAGGTGAGATTATGAAAAATACAGGGAAAGGAGGGTGGGCTGACTTGACTCAAGTGCAGAACAATAGAAAAGGGAAAGGAAAGGAACAGCTGGGAAAAAGGTAACAAACAGAATTGCCCATAGTGGCCACTAGAGGGTGCCACAGATTAAGGACACGATGGCAAGGAAGCTTCAAGTAGGAAACTTTCCTTGATGGTGTCAAACTCAAAGCTCAGGACTGCAACACTCTCAGGGCTTGGCTTGCCAGCCCTTTAGAGCCAACACTCCTGGGGCTAGATATTCTTTGCGGCTCGGCTGGCCAACCCATTGAGCTGACACCCTTGAAGCCCAGGCTGACCTGAAAAATCTGTATCATCACCTCCCTTAAACGCTCGGAGGGAACAGAATCTTCCTCCCTTCTCCTGAATCCCAGTTACTCCTGTCTCCACATGGACCAGCCCCACCATCCATGGTCCTCCTACCTTCTTTCTGCCTAGGGTCTCATGTTCCCAAATTTCCTCACATCTATAAATAAAATGTTTGAGAAAAAAAAAACAGAAAAATACTTAAATTTGATTCTACATCTTGAACATACATATGCCCCTGATTCTTCACACCGTATACATCTGTAGGAAACCACTTACGGAAATAATGCTCAACAATGCTTCCTTACCAGTTTAAAAACAAGCTATTCATATTCGGAAAGGGGTCTGAACTGGAGACATGGGTCCTTGAAGACTGTTTATGGACCACCAGTGCCACTACAGCATTAATGGACACAACCAAGTAATTGGTCGCTACTTTCTGCCCCCATTAGCACCAAGTATGACAATCTTAATACGTGGTTAAAACTAGACTTTAATGCTAACATTTCAAAAAACAACTGAGAAAGAAAAATCTGGGACAAAACAGTGCTTTGTAAGAATTTTTACAAAAATGTAACTTTGACTTACTGTTCAAGGTTGAGCTTATTGAATATCTCCACTGTTGTTTCTAGAACTTTATCAACATAGTCCACACGATCAGGATAACATTTCATGGCAAGATTAATGAGAGAGACTTGTAAAGATACAACATCCTCTGAAGGCATGTCTTGTCTAGACTGGAATGTTTAGAAAACCATACAATTTATTTTTAACAATTACAAAGGATCTCCCAGCTGAGAAGTTTCAAAGTTTTGAATTTAGGGAAAAAAGCTCTACAAACCTGTATTACTGTAGCCACCTGCTGTGAAAATATGTCAAAAAGTTTAATATCTGCTGGGATTCCAGGTCCATCTTCACGGTGAGCAAATAAAGCTAATCTAAAAAAGAAAAGAGCCTTTATTTTAAAAGATATAAGAATTTGGGTGGTGGGATCATAGATGACATTTATTCTTTATTGCTTTTCTGTATTTTGTATGAGCATATTTCTTCTAGAATAATAAAAAAGGTTGTTTACTTATTTTTAAAAGGCTAGTCAGGCTGGGTATGGTGGCTCACGCCTATAATCCCAGCACTTTGGGAAGCAGAGGCTAGAGGACTGCCTGAGCCCACAGGTTCAAGACCAGCCTGGACAACTTGGGGAGACCTTCTTTTTAATAAATAAAAAAATAGCTGGATGTGGTGGTAAGTGCCTGTAGTTCCAGTTACTTGAAAGGCTGAGGTGGAATGATCACCTGAGCCCAGTAGATTGAGGCTGCAGTGACCATGAGAGTGCCACTGCACTCCAGTCTGGGTGACAGAGTGAGACTCCAACTAAAAAAAAAAATTAAAAATTAAAAAAAAAAAAAATAGAAGCTAGTCAGGTAAAGCAGCAGGAGTGGAGAAGAAACAAAGAAATCTCACGCTGCCCATTGAAAGAGGAGTGGATAAAAAATGTGGTACCTATACAAAATAGATTATTACATAGCCATTAAGAAGGACAAAATTATGGACTTCGCAGCAACTGATTTAGAGTCTATCATACTCGGTAATCTATCACAGAAACAAAGAACCGAGTACCACATGTTCTCACTCACAAGTGGACCCTGAACATCTAGCATAATATTATAAGAAAGGGACTGGCAGTAGTAGGACACTGCCAGCAGAGGGTGAGGGGCACATAACATCAATAAGGGTACCTGATCCTAATCCAGGTGAAGTGAGGTCCAATGGGAGGCCCAAACTTCACCTGTACGTAAACCACTTATGTTCCCAATTCTGACTTGTTCCCCACATCTTTAAAAAAAAAAATTAAAAAAAATAAAAATAACAAACTCTAACTTGTGATCACTAAGCTGTTAATACTACTATACATGGACCAATCAAAAAGGGTTTAAAAAAAAACATCATGGTTGATCATTTCCTCAATTCATTTTTTTTTAATTCCTTCAATCTGTCATCCAGGCTGGAGTGCAAGTGGCACATTCCTTCTACTACAGCATCAACCTGCTGGGACCAGGCAATCCTTCCACTTTAGCCTTCCAAGCAGCTGGAACTACAGGCACACACCACCATGCCTGGTTTATTTTTTTTAGAGACGAGGTCTTGCTATGTTGCCCAGGCTGGTCTCGCACTCCTGGTCTTGCACTCCTGGGCTCAAGCAATCCTCCCAAAGTGCTGTGGTACAGATGAGAGACACCATGCCCAGTCCCTATTTCCCACATCTTAAACTACTCAAAATAATGTCTGTTACGTTATTATCATCTGTTTGACAGGGTCATAAGTGTATCCACGGTTTGTTATGTACAGAAGCATCACTACTGACAGGGACAGACATTATGAAATCGAACAATTAAGTTCACGAACTCATCCTAGAAAAAGTGCTACATACCTCATTGCTGAGTATCACTATGGCCAACTTCAAAGTACTCCCCCTGGGAAGCTATGCACTGATGTCAGAACCTAAACTGCTCATCAAAGCAATTTTAGAACTCTTTTTCTGGAATGGCCATCAGAGTTGTCTTTGTGAGAATGTTGGAGTTTGAATTAGAGCAACAAAGAGTGGACGTGAAATCAGGGACATGTTAGTCCAAGTTTATGGGGATAATGCCATGAAGAAAATGGCAGTGTATAAATGGATTAAACGTTTTTCTGAGGGGAAAGTGTCACTGATAAAGAGAGGTCAGGATGGCCAGTAACAAGCAGAACTGTCGAAAAATTGCAAAAATTCATTGACTTGTATGTCAAAATCATTGGCTGACTGTGAGATGCATAGCAGACCAAATAAGCATCGATAGAGAAACAGGAAAATCTTAACTGAAAATCTTGGCAAGAGAAAGGTGTGTGCAAAAGTGGTCCCAAAGGAGCCCTTGCATCACAACAATGCACCAGCTCACACAGCACTGTCTGTGAGGGAGTTTTTAGCCAGTAAATAAATAACTGTAATTGAACACGCTCCCTACTCACCTGATTTGGCCCCCAATGACTTCCTTCTTTACTCAAAGATTAAACAAAAAAAAGCTCTTTTTTGGAAAAAGTTTCAAAACTGCTTTGACGGGTGAACTAGATGCTCACATTGATGCATAGCTTCCCAAGGGAAGCACTGCAAAGGTGACCATAGCGTTATTCAGCAAGGAGGAGCACATTTCCTAGGATGAGTTTGCAAACTTAATTGTCAGCACTCATACATCCAACACAGAAAATCCAGTTACTAGCTTCCTTTAAGTGTGGGCCCAATAAACACGTCATTTTTGGTGCCCAGGATTGAGCTGATAATTTGAAGAATTCTGCTTATAAAAGTTCTTAGAGTTTAAAAACTAATAACTTAATTAGAAAGTTTCTTTAAAAATAACAAAAGATATTTACAGAAATAAGTCTTCGCTTGGGCTTCTAGTTTCCTGACAACACTTACAAGTATGTTCACAAGCAGGACAGACATTATGTACTACCACACAGCATAGTTGCCAGGAAGTCACTAGTTAAAGTCATTACCAAAGGTCAACTAAGAATGACTAAGAAAATAAACTTAAGGGGGATGTACTAAATATATTTGATACTTAAAAATTCTTCTTGGCTGGGTGCAGTGGCTCACGCCTATAATCCCGGTACTTTGGGAGGCCGAGGTGAGAGGACTGCCTGAGCCCAAGGGTTCAAGACCAGCCTGGGAAACTTGGCAAGATCTCATCTCTACAATAAATCAAGAAAAATTAGCTAAGCATGGTGCATAAAGACTCTAAATCAAATCAACAGAGTGAGACTCTGACTCAATAAATAAATAAATAAAGGACATAAGTTTAAAAAAAAATTACTTTTTAAGAAAATGTGATGGCTGGGCATGGTGGCTCATGCTTGCAATCCCAGCACTTTGGAAGGCTCCTTCGGGACCACTTTTGCACACACCAAGGGTTCGAAACCAGCCTGGGAAACTTGGGGAGATCTTGTCTCTACAATAAATTTAAAAATTAGCCAGGTGTGGTGGCACGCATCTGTGGTTCCAGCTACTTGGAAGGCTGAGGCAGAAGGATCACCTGAGCTCAGCAGGTCGAGGCTGTGGTGGCCGTGAGCATGCCACTGCATTCCAGCCTGGGTGACAGAGTAAGACTCCAACTCAAAAAAAAAAAAAGTGATGATAGAGTGATTACTTGAACATTCTTAATCATCTGTATCTTATGGCTACGTGATAAAGACTCAATCAAATCAGTTTCCACTGAAAGATAACTTACATCATGGTAAAAAACAAATATTGCTCTACAGTAATCTTTAGATTTGTGAGATTTAAATAATGGGTCTGTACAACAATGTGTTTAAATGTCAATTAAACACACAGAATAAAAATATTATCTCCATGCTTTCTGTACAATTAAAAGTTAAACCTCTTTCATACCTAATCTAGGCAAGTACCTAGTAAATACTCATACTCACAGAAATAAATTATTTCTATTATTTATCTTAAAATAATTGCTATAATAAAAATGCGACAGAAACAAATAATTCATAAAAATGTTTTAAACTCATTATTCCCAACTCAGAGCATTTGCCCTCCAGTGCTGGAAGGTCTTACCTATCAATTAAAGCAATGATTATGTTTTTCACGTTTACATTTTGGTGTAACTCAGCACAAGCCCGAAGAAAAGGATTCAAAGTCTGTAGGTGGAATTCATCAGGGAAAACCTGAAAATTAAATAATTGATTGATACAAGTATTTCACATAATATTCTGAACTCATGTATGATATTTAAAATTCACATTTTTATGGAAAATATTATTTTACTCTTACGCAACTAAATTCAAATACATTACTTTTTTCTTTTTTGAGTCAGTCTCACTCTGTGCCCCAGGCTGGAGTGCAGTGGCACACTCACAGCCACTGCAGCCTCAACCTGCTGGGCTCAGGCAATCCTTCCATCTCAGCCTTCCAAGTAGCTGAAACCACAGGCATGCACCACCACACCCAGCTAATTTTCTGATTTATTGTGGAGACAAGGTCTCACCAAGTAGCTCAGGCAATTCTCTCACCTCTGCCTCCCAAAGTGCTAGGATTACAGGCGTTAGACACCACACCCAGCCTAAAATACATTACTTTTGAGCATCTCTAAACATAAGCCCAGATGGAAGTATCCCACTCACCAAAGTACACCTACAATTAAACTACAGCAAACTCAGAGATTATTTTTTCCTACATTTCAAGGAAAAAATAAATAAAAAAAATAACCAAATTATTAATTACAGACAGAAAAATAATTTATTGATAAAAGCCATTCTATTTGAGATTTTTTCAAAACAATGAAAATTTTTATGAGTCGGAGTCTCACTCTGTTGCCCAGGCTGGAGTGCAGTGGCAAGCTCATGGCCAGCGCAGCAACCTGCTGGGCTCAGGCAATCCTTCCGCCTCAGTCTTCCAAGTAGCTGGAACCACAGGCGTGTGCTACTATGCCCGGCTTCAAAACAATGAGATTTAATCAAAGATAAAATGGGTCCTTTTAAAAAATAACTGTTCCCACCTACCTGAATAATGCACTCCATTAGATATTCTTGAGCCAAAGCATCCCTACAATTCACAACTTGCTCCAATATGCCAGTCAAAACAATCTAAAAGAGGGAAAAAAGAGTATAGGCTAAGGCATTGTTTTCAAATCCTAAGCTACTCCTCTAATACATTTGAACTGCTAACATAAAAATCATACTTTAGATTTTTCTCACCTATTCTAAACTTTAAAATTCCATTTTTAGAGTTTTTCTATAAGGTATGAGGCACTGGACAAGGTTCAAAGTTTTTTTGCTTGTCTGTATATAAATATCCAGTTAATCCAGAATCATTTGTTGAAAAGGTTGCCTCTGTACCTTTATCAAAAATAACAGATCATATATATTCATGTGAGTCTATCATGAATTGTCTAATGTGGAAATTGTCTGAATCAGCTGCTGCCTGTTTCTGCACATAAATTTTTGCTGAAACACAGGCATGTCCATTCATTTCCATATTTTGTCTGTGGCTGCTGTTGCCCTACACCAGCAATGCTTACTAGCTGTAGATCATATGGCTTGCAAAGCCAAAAACTATTTATTTACTATCTGGTCCTTTCCTGGAAAAGTGTGCCAGTCCCTGCTTTATTCCCTTCCATTGGTTTGTGCTTCTATCCTTTTCACCAATGCCTCATTATCTCACTGTAGCTTTAGAGTAAATCTTGAATTCAACACGTTTGTCCAACTTTGCTCTTCTTTTTCAAAACTGTGGCTGTTCTAGGTTCTTTGCTTTTTCATATAAATTTTAGAATCACTTTGTTGATTTCTACAAAAAAGCTACCTGGAATTTTGACTGAGATTACACTGAAACTATAGATCAATTTAAGGAAAATTTCTATTTTAACAATATTAAGTCTTCCAATCCACAAACATGGTATATCTTTCAGTTTATTTAGGTCTTCTTTACTACAAGTCATTTAAAAATGTTTTTCAATGTATTTAACAAAAATATTCTGATTTTAAAAATCAGAGTTCAATTTATACCTTACAACATAAGAAAAGGTAACAAGTATAAAGATATAAACCTGTTTGTAACGTTCCACATTTACACCTTCCAACTGACTGAGGCGCACCAAATTTGTTCCCACTAAAATTCTCAGTTCTTGTCTTTCTCTTTCTCTTTTTTCTCTGTCTCGGCTGTGTCCCTGGTGTTGCATTCGCACCCACAGCTTGTTCATTTCTGCAAAGTTGAGTAGTACAAAATCCATGGAATCACTAATATCACCAGTTGTTTCTTCACTGCAAAGAAACAGTAGGAAAATCTTTATGCAGTATTTAAATTGCAGGACCAACTTACTACTATCCCTCTCCTTTGTGCATTTCCTCCTTATCTCTGAAATATACAATAATTTATAAACCATTTTCAACTTCACTGGATTAGTGTTACATTTCAAGAAGAACAGACTCTAGGGAAAAAGTACCAGGAAGAGGACACAGAACAAGTTTAAAGGACAGATTACTTTTCCCAATTCTCTATTCTGGGCCAAATGGACTTGCTCTTATGGCAACTACCTTAATTCAAAAAGGCGAAAAAATTTAACACTTACAGTGTACTATTACATCATTTTATTATTTAATATTTCTTTTTAATTGGAAAGTAAGCTTGTGAGGGAAGAGACCAGGTGCTTCCTGGCTTATTTTTCTACATCTCCTAGGATGGGGGATATAGTAGCTTTCAAAAATGTTTATTGGCTGGGTGCAGCAGCTCAGCCTGTAATCCCAGCACTTTGGGAGGCTGAGCCTGGGGGATTTGAGACCAGCCTGGGCAACATGGTGAGACCTTGTATCTACAATAAATTACAAAAACTAGCTGGGTGTGGTGGCATGCATCTATAGTTCCAGCTACTTGGAAGGATCATCTAAGCCCAGCAGGTCAAGGCTGTGGTGGCCATGAGTGTGCCACCGCATTCCAGCTTGGGCAACAAGGGTGAGACTCTAACTCAAAAAAAAAAATGGTTATTGATTGCCTAATCAAATACTCAAAATGGAGAGTCAAATAATATTTATTTACTTATTTTTATTATTTTTTTAAGTCAACATCTTACTCTGTTGTCCAGGTTGGAGTGCAACGGCACAATCACAACTCACCACAGCCTCTATATCCTAGACTCAGGCAATCCTTCCACCTCAGCCTCCCAAGTAACTGGGACTACAAGTATGCACCACTATGACTGGCTAAAATATATATATACATATAGTTTTTTTTTAAGTAGGATTTTCACTCTGTTATCCAGACTAGAGGGCAGTGACACGCTCAGAGCCACCATAACCTCAACCTGCTGGGCTTAGGCGATCCGTCCACCTGGGTCTTCAAGTAGCCGGAAGTACAGGTACGCACTACCACACCTGGCTAATTTTTTGATTTATTGTAGAGATAAGGTCTCTCCAAGTTGCCCAGGTTGGTCTCGAATCCCTGAGCTCAGCAATCCTCTCCCCTTGGCCTCTCAAAGTGCTAGGATTACAGGCTTGAGCCACAGCACCCAGCCTAATTTTTAAATTTAATTTAATTTTTGTAGAGACAAAGTCTTGCTATGTTGACTAGGCTGTTCTCAAACTCCTGGACTCAAGCAATCCTTCTGCTTCCCAAAGTGCTGGAAACTTGCCTAGGCAGAGTCAAATAATAATAAGGCAAGTAATCTCATCAATCTCTACACTGTTAAAGTCTTATCTTTTCTGTACTATTTAAAAGGAAATTGAAGCCGGCTCGGTTGCTCAGCCTGTAATCCCGCGCCTTTGGGAGGCTGAGGTGAGTGGATTGCCTGAGCCCGCGGGTTCGAGACCCGCCTGGGCAGCGAGACCTCATCTCTACAATAAATCAAAAAATCAGCCGGGCGTGGTAGCGCATGCCTGTAATTCCAGCTACTAGGAAGGCTGAGGTGGAAGGTTCGCCGGAGCCCAGCAGGTCGAGGCTGCGGTGGCCGGGAGCGGCCACTGCACTCCAGTCTGGGTGACAGAGTGAGACTCCAACTCAAAAAAAAATAAAAAATAAAAAATAAAAGGAAATTGATGCAGATACATTAAAAACCATTGAGTTGCACAACTTAGACATAAAATAAACGAATAAATAAACTTAAAAAAAATATATAGTTTATTTAAAAGTGAATTAGAGAGAAAAAGAGAATAGAGAGACAAGATTCACCTCCCCAAGATGGGGGAGGGGGCCAAAGCCAGGAAGCATGGCGACAGTCATAGCTCAAAGAGCACATGGCCACACCAGAGTCTAACAAGGCAATGGCCAATAAACTTTTAAAAGAAGGAATTAAGTTCCCTAATCTAAGCACCTGTCCTATGAACAGCTCACCCAGTTGTCTGAAGACCACAGGTTGGATAACCATCTGCCACTGCTGTGGGATGCTAGAGTATTGGTCACACAACAATGGCTTTTGTATTTTTCTCTTTTGGAGTTAATATCTAAGTTGTGTGCATACATAAGTAAAATAACTTATATTCTAGGGTAACTATCAGTCCATACATTATATAAACTAATAGACACTCAAGGAACAATTATAAAAACCAACTGGCTTATGGAAAAAGTTAAGCATACTTCATTATTTCATCACAAATACAATTTATAACAACAAAATTACAACTCAAGTAAGAAAATCACTTACTCTGTTGGCTCTCCTTCATCAGGTAAGATATTTCTGGTACATTGAAGAAGGTAATTTCGAAGAAAGAGACCCCTCAAGGGATGCTGCACACCACGGCACATTTCTACCAAATCTTTCAAAATATCTTTCCTGGACTGAGGAAATGACTTGACATATACAACTCCAACTGTGATCAACAGATAACTAGAGGAGTTAAGAGGAAAGACCTGATTAGACATAAAATATTCAAATCAAGAATGTTTTATTTCCAAACACACTGAATGCACAGGAACCATGTTGTTTTCTTTTGAATGATGAAAAAAATATAATCTGATTTAAAATATAACCACTGACTGGCCTCTAAGAAAAACACACACACACACACACACACACACACACACACACACACACACACTATATCTATGAGACAGATATCACCTTTAAATATATTAGGAAAGTAATTTTCACAGTATTAATATTTCTAGTAATCAAAACATTAAATGAAATAGCACATTTATTTTTTTCTATTTCTAAAATATAAAGTAATTGCTCTAAAACTTAAAATAACAGTATCGGGCTGGGCACAGTGGACCACGCCTATAATCCCAGCACTTTGGGAAGTCGTTCGGAGGATCACTTCAGGTCAGGAGTTCAAGACCAGTCTGAGCAACACAGCAAGACCCTGCCCCAACAAAAAATACAAAAATTAACTCGGTGTGCATGTATAGTCCCAGCACTTTGGGAGGCTGAGGCAGGAGGACTGCTTGAGCCCAGGAGTTCGAGGATGCAGTGAGCTATGATTGTGTCACTACACCCCAGCCTGGTAACAAAGCAAGACTCTGTATCTAAAACAAACATCAGTATCTATCAGAATGTTAAGCTCAATTTATTAAGAAATTAAATATCCTTAAAACTGCTTTTTGGTCGGGCGTGGTGACTCAAGCCTATAATCCCAGCACGTTGGGAGGCCGAGGCGAGAGGACTGCCCGAGTCTGTGGGTTCAAGACCAGTCTGGGTAACGTGGTGAGACCTCGTCTCTACAATAAATAAAAAAATCAGCCAGGAGTGGTAGCATGTGCCTGTAGTTTGGGCTACTTGGAAGGCTGAGGTAGAAGGATCACCTGAGCCCAGCAGGTCGAGTCTGCGGTGGCCAGGAGTGTGCCACTGCACTCCAGTCTGGGTGACATAGTGAGACTCAACTCAAAAAAAAATAACAAAAACCCAAAACACTGTTTTTTGCTAATTTTCAAGAACATAATTAAAGTGGGAGATGCAGATATAACAGTCCTCAGAATCTTAATTACTTACAGCCGTGGGATAATGTTCCCAGCATATTGTACAAGTTCGTAGAGATCCGCCACTTTTCTTCCTTTAGCAAACTCATCTGTCAGGTAAACCTCCAAGTAGTGCAGTTCATCAGAAATAGCCATATCTTTTCATTATGATTAAGGAACAAAAAGAAAGATAAGCCAACCCAAGGAAAACTCTGGAGCTCGTCAGTCATTGAAACTATTGGACAGGTATCATAAATTTTAGCCTCTTAAGAAAAAGTATTCAGAGCCAGGCTCGGTGGCTCAGCCTGTAATCCTGCATTTTGGGAGGCTGAGGTGAGTGGATTGCCTGAGCCCGTGGGTTCGAGACCAGAGCCAGGCTCGGTGGCTCAGCCTGTAATCCTGCATTTTGGGAGGCTGAGGTGAGTGGATTGCCTGAGCCCGTGGGTTCGAGACCCGCCTGGGCAACTTGGCGGGAACTTATCTCCACAATAAATCAAAAAATCAGCTGGGCGTGGTAGCGCATGCCTGTAATCCCAGCTACTTGGAAAGACTGAGGCGGAAGGATCGCCGGAGCCCAGCAGGTCGAGGCTGCGGTGACCGGGAGCAGCCACTGCACTCCAGTCTGGGTGACAGAGTGAAACTCCAACTCAAAAAAAAAAAAAGAAAGAAAGAAAGAAAAAGTATTCAAATTAAGACAGAATTTCAGATGGGCTTTCCTTACTTTATAATAAGGGTTTTAGCCGGGCACAGTGGTTCACTGCACTCCAGCCTGGGTGACAAAGTAAGACTCCAATTCAAAAAAAAAAAAAAAAAAAAAGGTTTTAAAGAATGTCTGAGCCAGGCTCGGTGGCTCAGCCTGTAATCCTGCGCCTTTGGGAGGCTGAGGTGAGTGGATTGCCTGAGCCCACGGGTTCGAGACCCCCCTGGGCAGCGAGACCTCATCTCTACAATAAAATCAAAAAACCAGCCGGGCGTGGTAGCACATGCCTGTAATTCTGACTGCTTGGAAGGCTGAGGCGGCAGGATCGCCGGAGCCCAGCAGGTCGAGGCTGCAGTGGCCGGGAGCGGCCACTTCACTCCAGTCTAGGTGACAGAGTGAGACTCCAACTCAAAAAAAAAAAAAAAACCACACACACACACAAAGAATGTCTGATGAAGCAAAGCAGTAAAAGCAATGGTTACCACAGGTTTTGAAATGGCAAATGATTTAATTCCTTTCTATTTCAGAGTCTTGCACAACAAATCTAAGCACTAAAGAACCAACTGCCTCATAGCTTCAATATCTGCCATGAAGGGACTGAAGGTTGAGATGTAACAATAACCCATTTAAAGATATTTATAGAAAAGGAGTATTCTGAAAGATTTTCTTTTTCTCATTTAACACATCTGCATAGAGAAGGAATACCATTTGAGTAAAACAATGAAGAATAACATAACTCGAGAAAAACTTCATAAAAGATAAACAAAATTGACCTCATAAAAAAAAAAAAAAAAAGTATAGCCCAAATGTTTATTCTTTAACATTCAGAAGATACAAAGTTCATAGTAGCTCTTTGGTGATAACATAGAGGTCCGGAGTTCACCAAGCATATTAGAAGCATGTTTCAGAGCATCCATAAGTTTGTTTTTGTCCTATAGAAATACCAAGAGAATAGATGAGAATCTTAAATAAACATTTATCTTGATTGTATAAACTCAACATCAAGGACTTGTTACACAGTTTTAAGCTCTAATATCAAGGATTTGTTACATATTTTTAAAAACTTTGCAACCCTTAAATTATTTTAACCACATAAAACCCAGCTTTAGATAGTTTCACCTGCCTTCTCTCTATTGAAAAGAAAAAGGGCTGTTTCACACCTGTAATCTCAGCACTTTGGGAGGCTGAGGCAGGTGAATTGCTTGAGTCCAGGAGTTTGAGACTAGCCTGGGCAACATAGCAAAACATCATCTCTACAAAAAATTTAAGCCAGATGCAGTGGCTCACACCTATAAACCCAGTACTTTGGGAGGCAGAGGTGAAAGGAATGCCTGAGCCCAGGGGTTCAAGGCCAGTCTGGGAAACTTGGCAAGACCTCGTCTCTACAATTAAAAAAAAAAAAATTTAGCCAGGCATGATGTCATGTGCCTGTAGTTCCAGCTACTTGGAAGGTTAAGATAGAAGAACTGCCTGAGCCCAGCAGACAGAGGCTACAGTGGCCATGAGCATGCCACTGTACTTCAGCCTGAGTAAGATTCCAATTCAAATGGATAAATAAATAAATAAATAAGCTGGAACTGGTGGTGCACGCCTGTAGTCCCAGCTACTCAGGATGCTGAGGTTGAAGGATCTCCTTAGCCAGGAGATCAAGGCTGCCATGAGCCATGATCGTTGTGATCATGCCACTGCACTCCAGGCTGGTTGACAGAGTGAGGCCCCCAACAAGAAAAGAAGGAAGGAAGGAAGGTGGGGGGGAGACTGGGAGAGAGATAGACAGATAGATTGATATATGCATAGTTCCTCACCAGGGCTGCAGAGCTCAGCAAGACTTAGATATTGAGGGTTGCAAGCTTCCTGATGTAACTCTAATCTTTTAAACCTCTAGAAACTGGGAAACTAGCTCTATTAACCACATTTTACAACAGCACTGGCATATCAATTATTTTAAAGCAAGATACTGTCCTGACAATGGCTCTGTCATAAGTTAAAGACTCTTCAGAGCTATCTGAAATGACTATTCATGTAAGTTTGCTTTTCTCCTGTATTCTTCAAACCCTCCCAATGCCCAAATGTTCCACTTAACTCATAAACGCAGACAATTCTTCACGATACAGGAAACACTATCCATACACAGAAAGAGAAAGCTGCTTGCAATAACACACCCATTCCCTCCATTCCAAGACATTTATTTTTCATTCCAAATGTGTTTGCAAGGAAACCAATATAAGATACAAGAGCATATTACCAAACTTTAGAAACTACAAGACATTTTACAAAGTTATTGTTGTCCTCGTCGTCATCGTCATCATCATCATAGCAACTTATGGCTTGAAGTACCGGCCAATTTGGTTCAATTTGTTAAATTTTAATCCAAAAAATCTATAGGATCTACACAGCTTAATTCTTATCCTATCTTTTAAAATATGAAAATATGTAAATAAGTGTAAGTGTGATTTTTAAGCTAGCTTCTGAAATAAATGTATCTATTCAGGATGGAAATTAAAGTTTTTGACATATTCAGAAGAAAAAGTTGAATAATTCAGATCGAATTGAAAGCATTTAAACCCATTCATTCAAAAAATATTTATTGAGCACTCATTATACATTAAGTACTCCTCAGGTTTGAAGAAGGCTAGTAATTCAAGTCAGATACTGGTATGGTGATAATGTAACATGTATATAAAAGGCAAGGAGGCAGTCTCTTGGTCTCATGTGCTTACATTCTAGTAAGGAAGGCAAGACAATCCCAAATCATAAATATCAATGTGAGTAAATAGAGCTCTCTGTTGAAACTGCACTACACAGTGCTTGAGAGTTGGAACTGAAGGCAGATGCTGATGGACACTGGAAGCCGTGGTGCTATGTAACTTTATAAAACATTGAAGATGTTTCCTTAGGAACATGCAAACTGCACTTGTGCCTCCCACATTTTCATTCTTACCAGGCATCTCTTCATCTGGAATGACTGGACCTTCACAGCCTGTATGGCTTCATCCAAGAGCTTTTCCTGCTCATCCTGAGGTGACTGCTGTGTTGTAGGCTGGAAAAAAAAAAATTCCATTAATGTCTCAAGCACATTCTTCTAATAAATCTGTTATAGTTCTAGCCTTGGTCCTTCTACAAGACTTGCACAAAAGACTCATTCCAGCTCTACAACTCAAACTAATTTATCTTTTTTTTTTTTTTTTTTTTTTAGACGGAGTCTCACTCTGTCGCCCAGGCTGGAGTACAGCAGCATATTCATGGCCACTGCAGCCTTGATCTGCTGGGCTCAGGCGATCTTCCTGCCTCAGCCTTCCAAGTAGCTGGAATTACAGCCACGCATCACCACACCTGGCTAACTTTTTTATTTATTGTAGAGATGAGGTCTCGCCAAGTTGCTCAGGCTGGTCTCAAACCTGTGGGCTCAGGCAATACTCTCACGTCAGCCTCTCAAAGCACTGGGATTATAAGCGAGAGCCACCGCACCCAGCCTCTATTTATCAATTTTTACAGCTCCGGAACACAGAGCTGTGCACAGACACTGACATTAACAGCATACGGTTACTGAAGGAGAACAATAATGTGTACAAAGAAATGCCTCTCTGTCTCAGAAACTGAATCAACATTCTTGTAGTAGGCTGGCCTCAAAGAAACTTGTGGTAGTCATTCATGGCTGTGTTCTGCTAATATGTGTGGAATCCAACCAAAACATAGCCATCCAACCAATCTGAATCTTGTGACAAGTATAGTCTAACAGAAATCTCTAAAAATCTCTTTTCCTCTAGACTACTTTTCATCTGCACTTTAGTCTATTCTTGGACCATGGAACTAGTTTATGAGATACTGACCACCACATCCTTTGGCAATATATGACAAACAACTAAACAGCTTAGAAATAAAATACCTGGAATTATTGTTAGACCCGTAGTAGAAAAGGATAAAATGCACTCTCCTCAAATCCCTGGCTTATGTCATTTCAAATACAGAGATTTACAGCTATAATGGACAAAATCTATTTAGACGCTCTTTCTCTTTGCCATTGGCTAGCATCTACTTGCAAAATAAATGAGATTTTCCTGTCAAATAGAATTAACTACTCATTCATGTCACCTGAAAACTGTTTGCATCTCTACCACAGTCATTCATCACATTGTAATTATAAATGATGGTCATTTTTACATCCTTGGGACCCAACAAACTGCCTGATACATAATGGATGCTTCATAAGTGTCCACTGCAAGAATGAATAAGCTGGTTTTAGAATGTTTAGATTATATATTTAACAAAAACTGAAGAATCAACAAATGAATGAATAAACAAATTGTGGTATTTACATACAACAGAATATTATTCCGCCACAAAAAGGAATAAAATATTGATACATGCTACAAAAATGAACCTAGAAAATATTATGCTAATTGAAAAAAAAGCCAGATATAAAAGATCACATACTGTATGATTCTATTTATATGAAATATCCTGAATAGATAAATCATCCATATAAACAGAAAGTAGACTGGTGATTAGGTTGAGAGAGTAATTGCTTAACAGGTACAGGGTTTCGTTTGGGAGGTGAAGATAATGTTTTGGAACTAGAGATGGTGGTTACACAATACTGCAAAGGTACTAAATGCCACTGAACTGTTCACTTTAAAATGGTTGATTTCATGTCAATTTCATCTTTTCTTTTTCTTTTTTTTGAGTAGGAGTCTCACTCTGTCACCCAGGCTGGAGTGTAGTGGCACACTCACAGCCACCGCAGCCTCGACCTGCTGGGCTCAG